TTTTTTTAAACACTCTCAGTATACGAAAATAATATTCAAATTTGAAGCCAAAACAGTAAAATATGAAATATATTTGTATTAATAAAACATTTATTTAAAAATATTATACTTCGTTTTAAAGTAATCATTCTTAAACTCTTAGTTATCATACATATATTGATATTATTATTATCATCGTTAAATTCAAAATCGAAATTTATTAGTTTTTTTGTTTAATAGCTTAATTCTAAGATGCGCCATCTAGTAAATATCGTTTAAAAGTAGATGACCTTCCCGCGTTTATAATGCTTTGTAATGTTACTTAGATGCATGTTAACAAACTAAACAAATATTCGTATAATTGGCAAATGCTGAGAAGCGCATGATGATTAGAAATATACATTGGTAATAGCGATTACCAACGCGAGGTTGTTGGATCGAAATCCCTATTTTTACCCGAATTAAATAGAAAATCATTACCTTCGAATGCATTCCAAGAAATTGAAAAAGAGGACGCGTGTGAAATATGATTTACACTAAATATTGAATTTTTTCTCTCTCGACAAGCAAGCAAAGAATACTGAACGAAATGCTAAAGCATTTCGATTCTCGTTATCAAGTAAGCTACGGTTGTCTGCATCCGACAATCTATTTTTGTCCCACTTCGATTACAAGTAATGTACGAAGCTAGAAGAAACGTACACATCGGTATAATCATGCTTGTTATTACGCTGATCATTATATTTACCAGTTAAAACGTACGTCGCAAAAGCATCGGGCGCTCGAATTTTAAAGCAAAGTCCCGAAAATTTAAGAATCAAATTTGAATCGTGTTTGCGTCTATATCAGGATAAATGCGATATCTATTATAGAGTTTTTTAAGTTGCGTTTAGCAAATGGGTAGATAGTTGATGGTTTAAAGTGCGGCCACCAAAGTGGCAATTAACGTGCACCGAGTGTTGCATATAGATGCAACTCATTTTTATTTTCTCTTCCATTTTTCCAACGTTCCAGCTCGATTTTTCCATCTGGTAATACGAAAATATATGTGTCGGAGTATTAATTAATGAAGCAATTACACGGGTAGTGTGCCAGAGGCGAATTCTGGGCTGGTAATCTACCGTCGGGGCCGTTAAAATGGAAATGCTACAGTAAAAATTTTATCAAGTCGTATAATTTTGCGCGCGCTGTACTCGTAATTGCAAATTTAGTTGAAATGTATTCAGGTTAGACGCAGGCGCACGAAATAAATCAATAGGGGAGGACGCACTTTCGGTACATCCTACGGGAAAGCGTATTATGCATCCTTGTGTTTACTACAGGATATTTTTTCCTCGCCTCGCACGCAATTTCTTCCCCACACGAAAATAAAAATAAACACGTTTATTTTTATCTTTCGCTACGCACTTTTGCAACGTTATCCCAGCTGACATTTATTTAAATATCAATTTATATACGCTCGCACCGGTAGCGAAGAACAAATAAACAGAAACATATTTGTTGATCACCTTCTCCTTTTTCGAAATAAATTTAATAAAGTAACTGAAATAACGCGTTTTGTTTTTCAACTTTTGTTTTTTTTTTTCGTTTCTTTCAGTAAGTGCAACCTACCCCTGCACCTCGTCCCTTCCCCCTGCCACGTCTAGATTCTCCACGGATATAGCTTTGGTCTCCATAAAGATTCTAAAACAAAACGAAAAGAAAACGAAAATAAATAAAATCATAATTGAAAGAAAAAAACGAATAATCGATGGACACAATTCTCTACACTATAAAACCAATCCTACAATTATTCTACGAAAAACATTATCTACTGCAACCCGAACCCTACGCCGACATTTTGCCAGAATCAGAAACGATTTCCGTATTTATTGATTATTTTCTTCTGCAAAAAGTATTTCATTTATCTTGTTTACCTTCAAAATAATTCAATTATTATCGTCATTTCAAACACGCTCATAAGAACACACATATTATTATTATTGTTACATCAACAAAATCTAGAAATATACATCATTTATCGATTTATAAACCTGAAATCATACACGTCTGTAAAGTATTGATTAACTTTTAAACGTCTGTACATTTTCTTTAAACACACTATTAAATTTTTCTTTTTGAATCCATAAGATTCTTCAAATCGTTCATTTGTAATACATTCTTTTTTTAAATAGCCACTTAATTACAATTGCTTGACTAAACATGTTGTTTATTAATTATTATACTAAGTAAAATTAAATAATAGAGAATTAAACATTTTCTTTTTTTTTTTCAAAACAAAAACGTAGATTTTATTTAATTTTACAATAAAAATTTGTTTCTTGTATAAAATATAATTGTAAAAAAAAGCATTATTAGTTTCAGTGTGAAAATGTATTCGACTATTTCAAATTTGAATACGTCTCTAATATCCGCTTGAATAGATTTGTCTAGGTTCGATTTTTATCCCTCGCATAATAAAAATAATAAATTATGCGATTGTAGCGTTTGACAACGGAGAGGACAAAAAGAAAATAATGTAAGGAGAGAAGAATTGAATTGAGCATTGAATTCGGGTAGAAAATTTGGCATGAAACTGGATATAGTTTTGCCGCAGCTTAATGACAATGGCGGCCGATCCGAAAAGAAATTTATGTGCGAGTGCGTGTATTTCTATGCCGTGAGAGATCCTGGGATAACGGGGCACTGCCAGTGGGAGGAGGAACTTAGGCCCCAGCTGTCAGCAGATACCAACCACGTGTGCTACGAAAAGGGATGTACAAAACACTTAATGTTTACTTTCCTCCGGATTTTTACCCCACATCATCAACTACCCTCATACGCGACGTCCCGTCCAAAAACAAAAATACCTTCAATATCCTCCACCATTTTTATTCCGGCGACGTTCTAATAATATAATATAGAATGCAACAAAAAAAAAAAATATATGAACAAACTTCTAAATATTTCTATTTTTACGTTTTATAAATAAGAAATTTATATTTTTTATTAATATTATGTTGTTACATTACAAATTAACAATAGTTTTCTTTTAGAATTTCCATAGTTTCCGTATAATATAATGCAAAAAATGAACATAAGTCTTTAATATTTATGTTATAAATAAGTTATAGTTGATGCATTACAAATCGAGAAACATTTTCCCTCATAATTCAGGGGATTGTACAAAAAGTATATGTGTAATATATAAATAAGGTGTGAGGTCCGTTTAATTGTTAGAGAATGGGGATTATTCATTCGTCCTGGGTGTGAGCCTTTTTCGGTGTGTGTGTCGAATTGGTATATATATTTTTTTGTACGTATGTGTGTGTCTCGTTGTAGAGGACGGTAAATTGAAAATGGATTAGGCAAATCAACCCTCCTCGGTTTTGTGCATCCCTGATGGGTGCACACCTGGCCTTGCTACCGGATATGCCTCGACCAGACGGCTCTTGCACCCAATATGGCATAAACTTGTATCGTCGTGCGCTCCATATATTCCATACGTATCAACAGCCCGGCACATTACCGCCCCTATTTTCTGATCTCGTTAAGATTCAGATACAAACACTCAACACCCAGTGCACCGAGACAAGGCGACGAAGGTGTTACTTAACGTACTCGAGATTACCCTCATCCCAGTTTCGAAAAATTATTTATTATTTGCCGCCACATTTACATTACTCAATTTTCACTTCCGCTCGCTGCAAGCGGCAAAACCCACCGCTTATTAAATACAACAACAACAATGTAAAAATATATATATAGATATAATATGTGTGTGTATATGGAAGAAATCCCTTCGACTCACTGGGATTATATAATATCCAGTTTCTAGTTCTATTTAACATTTCTAAATCCTGGGTCTTCGAAAAAGGTCCTTCCAGAGACGCATTCACACATGGCGTTCCCATACTGAACTGCAATGGTTTCCGGTCGTTAATATATTATTTCCAAACATGGAAACACAAGACCCCCGTTCCCATGACACTGAAAATCCGCATAACAGGAAAATCACAATCAGCGCGCTATTTCTACGTACACATTCTCAGTCGATATTGTGTCTACCTCTGAAGTTAATTGGAATATTTGTCACAACTAATTTAATCAGATCCATCAAGAGTTTTTTTTTCCCATTATTTATATTTTTGTTACTCATTATTTTTATCTGCTACATGTTATTATCAATATAGATTATTCGCATTTGTTTGCCTACTTCTATTACATACAAATGTTTTGATTATTCTCCATACAAATTACTGCGTGACAGATAATTATGATCAAAAACCATTAAAAACTCACAACACGACGTTATTAAATTTGACCAAATTTGACCACAACTCTAATTACAGTTATTATAGCTTATTGAATGCACAAATCATTACAATTGGCTAAACCGAAAATCTCCTGGAAGTCTTTAAAAACTGTCTCTACCTGATTTCACAACATAACTCAATCTATATAAATTATTGTTACGACAAAAACCTTTTGCTGAGACATTTTAAACACAAACTAAGTTGTATAGAACTATTCTAATCATTGTTACCTTAGAATTTCTTAAGAAGTCAGTTAGTTTATACAAAGTTTAACTAAAGAAATAATACATTGTAAACAGCCCATTGTAATAATTTATATAATTTTGTAGTTGTTGCTATTGTAAACGTTGCTATTATCATTTAAAAAATAGTTGAAAACAAATACAATCTTAATTATTAGTAATTGAAAGTAAAAGAGAAAATTTGTGGTTGCAATGGTGGATTATATATATAAATAAGTGTACGGCCTTGAAATGAACCAATCAGCACCATTAATACGCGGCTCCGTGATTGGTTTATTTTACACCCTTCAGAGTGGGGTGGCTGAAAAATATTTCCGTAAATATTCATCTCAATTTATTTTTAGAACAAAAAAAAATCTCTACATAGTCTAACATGAAGAAGACTCCTCCCTTCGTTCTCATCTTAAAATAGTTTTTAAAATGGCTACAAATAAGTGAAAGCTCTTAATATAAATAGTTTTGTCCCATTATATAAATAAATATGTAGTCTTAATTATTATACAATTTATACTTTCTGTAGAACTATGTACCATGTACCAATGATTTTGACTTTATAAATAAAAATAAGAATAGTCCTTTGTATCAGTAATGTACAAATGATATTACCGAAATCAATTGAAATTAAAGATATTTAGATCTCATACAGGTCTGATGAAAGAAAAAGGATCTAAGTAAGTTAAAAGATTATACATAATTATAGCTATTAGTTAAACCATGTACCATGTACTAATGATTTTGAAATAACTTTATAAATAAAAATAAGAATAGTCCTTTGTATCGGTAATGTACAAGGATATTACCAAAATCAATTGAAATGAAAGATATTTAGATCTCATACATGTCTGATGAAAGAAAAAGGATCTAAGAAAGTTTGAAGATTATACATAATTATAGTTATTAGTTAAATTTTAGTGTCGAAGTCATTTTTAAGAGGTGTTTAAATCTTGATACTATTCTTGAGTTTATGGTGAAACAGCATTAACATGTCTATTGTGAAGCTGTGAAGTAAAATTGAATGATATGGAGGTAAAGGTTTTGTGTAAGTTTGTCGAATCCGAAAGGTGGACTGCCTGTTTTAATGACCAACAACGAACGGGTGGATGGTTGCGTGCCTTGGATATGGCTATGAGAGTGTGTAATACAACGATGAGTAAAGGCGTGAGCACGTGGGTAAACAAGGAAGGCGAGGGTGGGTTATCCAAGGTAAGGGAGACCTTCGGTCAGTGCGAGAGTGGTCGTTAGAACGACTAGACGGAGGGCCAGACAACCCGAACAACCGGAATACACCCTTCCTTCCGGGAATCACGCAGCCACTACACCGAAAATCCCACAAGCCGCGGGGAATCCCCCAAAAAACGACAAGAGCAACACTCTTCTTCATCTCCGCCCACCCCAACGTCACAGTCCCCTCCGGAACATATTATAACGATTAAAGGAAGCTCACCTTTTCCAAAAAAAAAAAAAAAATGAAATGAGAACACTCCCATCTGGAACACCCGAGATCGTTCATTTCGTATGGGATAAATGTTTAAGATATATATTTTCTTCCTTCGAGAAAGAAAGAGAAAAAAAAAATGAAATCATTCACACATGGAGCTGTTTTTTTTTCTTTTGAGGAAAAGGGAAGAGCTTTTTTTTTATAAGTATATGTTTTTATGAATCTGAAAGTGTGCGTGCCGCAGGGGGTTGATCCATATTTTCCTGTTTTGTTTTTTTCGTTTCCAGCTCTTCCAAAAATAGAAATCTAACTAACGTTATTGCACCTACGATTATATAAATAGAAACGTACATAACGCGCTAATATATAAGGGGATGTTCGGTTTCCCCAAAAACCACTTCGTTTTATGTACAATAACATATGTATATAACTATTTTTAGTGCTACTCCATGTTGCGTAAGCACAAAAAAATGAAGGAACTTTCATTTCAATTATTTTGTATGTAGTTTAAATCTAAGTATTTCCTATTCGAATGTAAATATAAATAATTGTAAATTTTCATATTAGATATTCTTAATTTGAATTCAAAGTTTTTTTTTATAATTCCCAGAACATTGATATTAATAAAATTGCACTAATAATACTGCATGAATATGTACTAGAACTAGTTGGAATCAAAGTGTATTATATAGTGTAAATTGGAGTTGG